AGAATGCCAGAAGCTTGTCGCCACTTGATCCACCCTGCTTTGATTCTATGGCTAACGTCGGCATCAATACCTCCATCTCTCTGTAGCATCGATCTCAGATACCGAAAGGTATCCTTCTTAGGCACTACTTGACCTTCCAAACTCACATCTCCCTCCTCCTGTACAACTCCGTCAAAGTCGCATCTCATGTATTCGGTTTTAGTTCTGCTCAATCTAAAACCTTTAGACTCAAGGGTCTACCGCTATAACTCTAGTTTCCTATTTACTCCCGCCTGGCTTTCGTCCACTAACACTACATCATCAGCGAACAATATACACCAAGGGATATCTCCTTGTATGTTCCTAGTAACCTCATCCATTACCTAGGCAAATAGATACTGCTTGTGGATGTTATATGTTAAAATTTTATTTTGAAAATGATTCTTGGGATGGATTCTTGGGATGGACCTACATATATGTTAGGAACCTGTAAAAAAATGTTTTGTTGTAAAGTGCCAACTACATGCCTACAACTGACATGTTCTTATAATGTTTTAGTTCCAGCTAAAAACAGAGAGGATTACCATATTTCATCACATCCATGTTTCTATCATAGGTTGTCTACAATCTTTTTTAATTTCCTGAAGTTATGATAAAATATACAGGGGACCTATTCAAACAATATAGCTGTTAACTACCAAATATTTTATCTTATGTAGCATATAAAAAAAGAGAATATCTTGCATAGTTGCTTTGCTAAATTCTAATAGACGTTGGCTGTAGCTAAAACATCATTATTTAATCTTGATAAAACTGCAATGCCACTTTTGTGAGAACAATGAGATTATCAGGACAGTTCCCTTTAAGCATAGTTGCATTTCAGCAGGTGTTACTTTAGAAATTGTTCAGTAGGAAACAGTTGACTCATCAATCATAAAGAATATACTGGAGCTCATCAACCATCTTTTTAAAACAGTTGAGTCACCAATTTTTTTCTCGCCAATCTTGCAGATCAGCAGGAGATGTTTGAGAGGGAAATTGGTCGTCTTAGAACATTGTTCCAGCAGCAGCAGCAACAGCAACAACATGTACCACAGCAGCAGGCTCCTACCCATAGCCGTAGTAACAGCAGAGACCTGGATTCACAATTTGCAAACCTGTCTCTGAAACACAGCGATCCTTGTATGAGTTTGAAGTTAGAACACTAAGGTTCTAATTCATTCCTTTTTAGTCGATTCTCTGTTGAGGTTAGGCGCCATGTGGTGCTTGTATTAGTTAGTTTGGCACTTGAATGGAATGTGAGCTGGTCTTTAGGTTATGCCACATCCTGGAAAAACGTTGCATCAGGAGCATCAGTCGTGTCCAATAAGATAGTGAGGTTGAAGGGCTGATGTAGTTAAGTTTCGTTTCACTCGTGATATGTGTGTATTTTTTTCGTATTATGATGACAAGTACATGAAATCCTGCAAGTTCATTTTAACTTTCAAGTATCTGCTTGTGTTCGTTCTATGTTCTATGAGATTGACTGGGTTAATGTCATATTGTTATCTATGCAATGTGGCGTTAACAGTGATTTGGACTCATCTAACCGTACACAACTCACAAGTAGTTGTAGATGTACTCTGTCGTTTCTGGCTCGGTCATTTGCGATATTGTACAGCCTAAATATCCATGCTTAAGATGCTTCTGTGAAAGAGAGTATCTTCCACACCTGACGCTGGATGTGATTTTCATATGGCACACACACAAACACAAAAAAAAAGGAACACAAAACAGAATAAATGCACGAATTTTACTCAGGCAAGTATCCCCGGTTGCAATGCCATTCCATACTTTGGTATAAGCCTACTTTAAGGACTACATCCCATACAACTAGAATAATTTATAACTGAATTGCACACTAAGGATACGAGCATTTCTGCAATTCACTAATGACCATATGGAATCTTCTATTTTTTGTTCAAATCGATGTCCATGGCTTCTGCTGGTTTGTTCCCCCGAAAATCAGCCACTGCAGTGTCAAGTGTCCCCCTTATATGATGGCACATCACCATCAGGTCTTGCAATGCATCTTTCAGAACATCCTTGGCTGGATCTCCTGCCAACATATCAACCATCATATATCAGGAATTTAAGCCAAAGGCAGCTATTCAGAATCACTATTTTTACTGTAGACAGCAGGGATCACAAATTCACACAGTAGCCTCTCGACGTTTCAAATAATAATATCGGTAACTACTCATCACAGGATTGCAGGTGCCACAACATTGTGTGCATTGGTAATTACTCGTTTTGACAAAACAATTCAGAAATACTATTTTGTATTCCACGACAGGGAATGAAAATAGCCTCTCTGACATTTCAATGAACAATGTTGGCAGTTACAACTCATTGCGGCAGATACCACAAAATCGTGTATCCTTCTTACAATACATTGGATCGACAGCAACAAAGTACAAGGAATATCATTTCAAATTCTTAAAACCTCCATTCAAGAAGTGTTAGAAAGGAAGGGGGGAATTTGGGATCATATGCTATTGTATAGTACCTGTAGTCTGAACCCGTATGTTAACTTTGTTCTCAGCAGGATGAGGGATGCTGTATCCACAAAATGCCACCCTTGGGCTGCAACATCGCAGAAGCAATTATAATGAGAAAAGCCATATACACTACACATACAAAATGCACACAACTTTGAGAAGTTTGGTCCAAAACTTCAAATACATACAAATTGAAACATACATTAAATTATAATGACCACAATTTAAATTCATCATATGATCATCTGAACCAGTCAAATATTTAGTGCACATGATTTAAATGTCATTAATCTAATGCAGGCATCCATAGTTCCTTAATGGTTGGATACATAGAAGATACAACTAAAGTACCAAAAATTTCAGGTTCTTCTTCCCCCTTTCTCGCTCAGGTGCCTAGGAGTTCCAGAAATTATTATCACATCAACAAAGAAACTGAATTTTTGCATGCTAAGGCTTATATGTTATCATCTGCCATCTTGTACCAGCAAAACATGCTCAACAGTGACAAGACACAGATTTATTTAAGCACTAAGGTATTCAATTTTCTGATAGTGATAGTCATCTCAAAGCAACATCATTGCATGCTAAAGAAGACAAATGACTCCTGCTGCTGACTGCATATACCATATAACAAAGCAAGGTCCAACAACCTTAAATACTGGTATCAACAAAACGTAATTGTCTTTGGTGAGTATTTTTCTATAAATTAAACAGAACCAGAACGAGTGCAGGCTCCTATCTATCCTCACAATACCTGAACATGCTATATCCTTAAGAGAAGTAATATCAAATGATCATTTAAACTCATCTAAATTGACTTCAGAATTGTAATACTTGTTCAAGTTTTAAGTGTAGCTGTTTTCAGCCCATGCATAAGCCTGTAAAGAAAACATAAAGTTCTAGGCTTTAATTACAGAATAGTTGCAACTATGATTCAACTCCAATTATTCTAGGTTATTAATAACTTCCCAACCAAATTTTACTGCATGAAACTAAAAACTCAATTGCGTTGCTGGTGGCAACATCAGTTTCCCCAATTCATTCACTGTAAGGCAACATCAGTTTCCCCAATTAATTCACTGTAAAAACTGATTTGACACAACTTTCCACTGTATCCTCTCATAAGCAATCCAAGACTACAAAGCTGTCTAACGGGTGGATAAGCGACAAGGTACCCCTCTTCCAAATTATAGTTCAAATGTTCAATTTGGCTTTGCTCTAAGTCAAACTTATCTAATTTACAGAAAAAAGTAGCAAGATCTACAACACCAAATTAGTTTCACTAAATTCTTCTCCATGAAATATGTTTTGATAGTATATTTATTCGAACCTGTAGATACTATAATATTTTCTAGAAATTGGTCAAATCTAGAGAAATTTGAATCAAAACAAAGCCAAAGTGATCTGGTTTTAAGTTATAACGGATGTAGTACAAGAAACAAAGACAAAAGAAAGGATAAATTGCGACTCACTCCTGGTTGAGGACGAATCTGACCGAGTTGGCGAGGGTATGATCCTCCTCCATGATAGAGAACGTCGACGAGCTCGAATCGTCCAACGACCCGTGCTCCATAGCTCCCCTCCTTCGACAACGAATGCGCCTTTATTCCTTCGCCAAGAAACCAGCAGAGTAAGGCCGTAAGGGGCAACAACAAAGCTCGAGTGAATCAAACTCCGAAACAACGAAGAGAGCAGGGCCTTTCACGGCTCTACCTGATGCGGAAGCAGAGAGGGGGCGAGGCGAAGCCGAAGGCGAGTTCAACAGCGGGAGGCGGCGGCGCTGCGTGGCGTCCTGAAGAAGGGCAGCAATTCCACGTTATTAAGACGAAGGAGAAAAGTCACATTTGCCCTTGGTTTTTTGTTTTGTTTGAGAACAAGTTAATCTTTTTTATTTCGAGAAGATAAAAATATTCATATTTTTCAACCAAATAAGCAAATGAATTACTACATTCTCCGATAAACATAAGTTCATCTATATGACACGCTGACCAATATCAGTGCTGACTGGTTTGGTATGAGAGAAAATATTGTTGTGGCTTATAATCCACGATTATTTACGACTAAGCGAACATGCCATATGCATATCGTTAGTTACTAATTTATTCTGGAAAACATATTCTTAGAATCCTTCAAATTATGTTCTTGGCATAACTCTACACGTGTTTATAGGAAATTAAACTAATTATTTTTGGTAGATATAATTTTTTAAAGAAGTTTAAAGTAAATTATTGTTAGTAGTGTTTTTAAAGAAATTTTAAGTAATTATTGTTGGTATTATAAGTTTACTTGAAGTATATTATTATTATTTATAAATAAATGTATCAGAATGGAGTAACTTCTTTTTGTGAAATTCTAAACAGCTAGTTTGCGTTGGATTTCTGAAATTCTGTCGTGTTTACCCTAAAAAATCACTTCTTGTTCCCAGTCTCCCAGACCCCTCCCAAAACCCTCGCTTCCTGTCCCATCCATGCCACAATCGCCATGAGCGACGGCAACCCCGCCGCCGTCTCAAGCAAGCGACCCTGTGACCCCTCCCTCGACGACGCCACGCCGTCGGCCAAGCTCCAGCGGTCCTCCGAGCCGTCAGACCCAACGCCGGCGGGGAAACCGAACGGCGGCGCGGCGACGGGAGTGGAGAGCGAGGTGATGGCCGTCGCGCGGAACCCTAGGGCGCAGAGGTACCTGGTCGCCGTGGAGTACATTGGCACCCGCTTCTCCGGCTCCCAGCAGCAGCCCAACCAGCGCACCGTCGTCGGCGTCCTCGAGGTAAGGCGCTTGCTAGTCTGAGATGTAAGATCAAAAGTAGTAGCCCAAGATGTTAGTGTAGTGCAAATGCAAATTCTGAAATTAATTTTTCTTGAGACGCTGATGCCCGAGAGTTTCGTTAGAGATAGCCTTGAGGATGATGGGATAATAGATAATTGCAGGGACATGGTGAATTTCTGGTCTGAATGTCTTGGATGTGACCTAGCTACCTTGTTTGGATGGCACTGGAGGAATTATTGCTTTAACTATGGTTGTGAATTGTGATAGTTATGTATGAATTGGTCACTGAATTAGAGGCTGCAAATGTTTTCCATCCACTCCTTCAAACCAGGTGGATGATGCCCTGACACTGTAGATATGTTGTTGAAACATCCATTTTATATTTTGTTAACTCAGGGCATCTAATTAAATTTTGTTGTGGGACATGAAAAATGGTTCCAAGGCTTTTTCCTGTCACTTGTAAACTGGCAGATGATCAATACAAATGACCATGTGCTTCCTGTTCCCAAAGGCTTTTTTGTGCCCTCCCTTGTCACCCTTTACTGGCCCATGTACATGATTAAGATTATGTAGCTGATTATTACCATGATCATACTATCCATGCTACCAAAGATTTCAACACATGTCTTTTTTATTTTGTATCTAACATTCTGCACTATATGCCTATATCCTTCCAAGATTAGTGTGTTTAATCCTCACCCTTTTACTGAAGTAGTGAACATATAATGCCCAGTTATCCCCATCCTGGATAAGTCTTTAGACTTCTCCTACATTTTTTTTGATAGGACTTCTCCTACACTTGAATGCACAAAACATGAAGTTACAGAATTGGAGTTAAAGCCACTTGATGCTGAGATTTCTTCAATTTGGAGATGGCTAACCTTGTGGATTTTTACATGTTTAAAATTTAGAGGTAGCGACTTTAGATGTAGGAATAGGAAAATTTGTGACATTTGAACTACTTTTTTGCTCATATGATCTGATGCTTAAGGACAATTGGCTGATGATAGTTGAGCCTAGTGATCGACCTAAGATTAGCGGGAATGATAATCAGAATGCATATAGGGTAAACAAATTCCTACTTTCTGATGCTTGGTCAGTAAACTGGGTGGAAGATTGCTGTAGATTTGTGGCTCCCTAACGGAGAGGGAAAATTGCAAGGTTAGTAGTCAGAAGGTATAAAAAGAGTAACTGCTCTCTACTCGACAACTTTCTTACAGCTCATTTGATTCCATGGAATTAAAATAGACATGTCAAAAACAATGAGGGTCTGCCTCAAATAGAAGGAAATTTCGTTGTGCCTTCTGCCTTCCACAAATCTACAGGGGAAACTAGAGAACAAACAGTTTTAGGGATACATTAGGATCCGTGCTATTGTTTTCCGTTAGTCTTCCCATGTCATCTGTACATTGGCCTACAAAAGCAGTGAGGCTTCTGTATATACATCACATGGTATTGCAGCGGTAATACTAAACCACAATGCTTGCACTACCAATCCACTAATATGTTAGCAGCAAGCCTTCTATTGGTTTTTTAATGTCACCATCATTATCACCATCGCCTGCAAGTCTGCAACACAGTTAATCATACTTACCGTCAAAACTATTGCCTCTTTGTCGATTACTTTAGTATTTATATAGCGTTTGCTTAGTAGTGGAGGCTAGGGAGTGGATGTTAGATCTAGCTAACAGTTTATCCTTTTTCTTTCTGTTATTTCAGGAGGCATTTCACAGATTTATTGGGCAGCCAGTTTCGATATTCTGTTCTAGCCGAACGGTATGAGAACTTGCTTTAATGCAAATGTGAATAAATTTAGTGCCTTCTAGGTTAGTATGTATCTTTGCCTTCTAGGTTAGTATCATAGTATGAGAACTTGCTTTAATGCAAATGCAAAGGCAAAAAATTCAATGGACTTTATCTTGTTGACATTTTTGCTTTGAACTTATGATGCTTTACTATATCTGTTCTGAGATGTCCTACAATACCTGCTTTACTATTTCTTTTCTCAACAAAATGTTGTCCTAGCATACGAACTACCAGCCACAAATGCATTTGTATTTGCAAAATGGAATGATACTAGCAGATTCATCAAAAGTACGTCTGCATTATTATATTTTCAAAATCATAGCTAACATACAAATGCTCAAAGGTGTGCGATGGAGACTTTGCTGGTGTCCAAACAATAAGTAAAACAGAAAGGAGGTTGTATTCAAATAAGCGTCAAATATGGAGCTAGGATTGAATCTTGCATGACATGCTATATGAGGCTTTGTTTATCTACTCCTTAGTTCCAAACATACTTTGCTGTGTAGGAAGAGTTCATCAGATCGTTGCTGTGGTTTGAGGCCTGATTAGTGGTTTTACTGATCTGTGATGCATACTTTTTTTCAGTACTTTATTCTTGTAATGGTTACACTTCTCTGGACTCTGGGGATCTATTTTAATGTGTTTAATGTCCTTTGCTTTTGTTCAGGCTACTTTATCCTTGTACTGGTCACACTTCTATGGATTCTGGAGATCTATTTTGATGTGTTTATAATGTCGTTTGCTTTTGTTCAGGATGCAGGTGTTCATGCTTTATCAAATGTTTGTCATGTTGATGTGGAGCGGATAAGTAAAAGGAAGCCTGGTGAAGTTGTATGTACACAAAAACCATTCTTTTTCTTAATACTGATTACCCACCAGGCCTTGTCTTCATCTATTGGCAGTATAAACTTATTTCATTTTTGATCTTTGCATGTTAAGTATGTGTATAATAATTGTTGTTGTGCCTGATTTACATCTTCTATGTTCTCCAAAATAGAATCTTACAAGCAATGGAATTACTCTTTCTGACCTTGACTCTAAATCGCCTACTTTGTCTGTTCTGAATTATAGGTCACTTTAGCTTTGTCCTAAGTCAAACTTCTCTAAATTTAACCAGGTTTAAAGAAAAATGCATCAACATCTATGACATCAATTAGTTTCATTATATTTCTATATGAAATGTCTTCACTTATTTGAACTTTTAGATGTTAATATGTTTTTCTAAAAACTTGTTCAGTTAGAGGTGTTTGACTTAGAACAAAGCTAAAGTGACCTATAATTTAGAACAGAGGAAGTAAATAGAAATATGTTTTCTAGAACAGCGGTACCTCTTATAACTTCTGCTGCTGATTTGCTTTTTCCTTTTTGCAGTTAACACCTCATGAGCCTGGAGTTGTAAAACGCGCTGTGAACCACTTTCTACTGGTAAGTTTTTGACTAAATGAAGTTGTGAATCTATCACTCATGGAAAACAAAATGAAAAATTTACATTGAAGATTTTCTTTTCATTTTGGTTGGATTGATATGTTTTACTGAGTTGAATAAACCCCCAATTTTTTTTCTTTTTCTTGAACAAGAAAAAGGTGCTGCTGATTAAATTTGATTTGTCTAGGTTTCTATATTTGCTATAATTGGTCTCCTGCTGTTTATATTTATGTGCTCCACTTTTTTGTCCTTGCAGAAGAATGAAGGTGACGTAATGGTGACTGATGTTCGCTGTGTTGCACCAGATTTTCATGCTAGATACAAAGCTCTAGAACGCACGTAGGTAGCAGAATATATAATACAATATGAGCATGTTTAAAATTGATCTTGTTCATATACTAATTTAAGTCTTGTGTCCAGTATTTATAAATGGCTTGCAGCTTTAAGATATGTACTAAAAAAATAATAGCTAAGCTAGCTCATAGAATACTCTGTTTCGCCTTCTGAAATGCTGAAAATGTTCACACTACATGTTTACTCTTTTTTTTTTTTTGAAGATATCACTATCGCTTGCTTTCTGGACCTGAATCAACATCTGTCTTCGAGAAAAACTCTGCTTGGCATATATCTGAAGATTTGGATATTCAGGCAATGAAGGTGAAGTCTGTAGCTGTATTTTACTTGTTTGCTGATGTAAAATTGTGCTGCTGTTTTACTGATGGTGTCTCTTCTTCAGAAAGCATGCAGCATACTTGTTGGCCATCATGATTTCAGTTCATTTCGAGCAGCTGGATGTCAGGTGATATTTACTTCTTAACTATTGTGAATCATCAGGTTTTTGAAGTGCATGGAGTTCATAAAGAAGTGTATCATAGACAAAGGCACATTTTATCTCTTTATCATGATGTTTAGGACTTCTGGTATTAGGCTTTCACTGCTCCCTTGCTGTAGGGACATTTTGCCTTTCCACTGCAACCACATTGATAAACCAAATGGGTTGGTCAGAATACAAATTAAAGTTGTGAAGTACACTTGTCTTAAATTTTCCTTACAAGTTACCTTTTCAATAACGTAATTTATGTTTGCCTTTTTTTTTGGGTTGCATCTCAAAAGGACAAATAAAGTCTTTTAAAAAGCAAAGTTGCTTGGTAGCCCATGGGATAAGGCCTAGGTAGGCTAGGTGGCAAAGACACTATCCGGGGTGTTGCCTAGCACATATGCATCTGGGCAGCCATTTTTTAAACTAGTGCAGATTTTGTGTACAGGGGTGTGGGCATCCCCATTAGTGAATAAATCATGCACGCAATACCCATAACCTTAAGTATATCTGCAACAATTCAGTTTCAAATTCATTCTAGATGTCAAGAAACAAAATCAAAGATGAATTTGAGATTAAACCATTGCAGGTTTATTTGATTGTGTGTACTACATACATGATTCTTGTGATGATTTTTTTTTTGGAAATATTGCAACATGTTGGATTAACTATTTGTTGGTTAAAGTGGACACCAATGAATTATGCTTTTAAACAATGTAACAGAATGAAAATTCTAAACTCCACCTCCAGTTTTCACGAGTGCTCTCTTGGGTTATAAAACTGTTTGCATGCCATTGATGTCTTTTAATAACTATTGCTTGCAGGCAAACTCTCCGATGCGAACTCTAGATGAACTTAGTGTTACAGAAGTATTCCCTTTCATGTTTTTTCCTTCAAGTGTGGAAAGATCAGAGTTGGAATCATCAAATGGCTCTCTTGTTTATTCAAGGACACCAGACATAGAATCTTCTGGGAAAGGATCTGATGGTAGCTGTACCAACAGTGTGAAATCAGAACTCAAGAATGGAGAAGACTTTGGAAAGAGATCAAGGCACCGCTGCTTTGTTGTTACTGCAAGGGCACGGTCTTTTCTTTACCATCAGGTTAATTTGTTTTCTTGAATGTCAGATTTCCTAGTTACTCTTGGCATGTTTGTTCTTGATTTTTAGAGTGTTAATTAACACCAAAACTTGTGATTTGTGCTGGTGTATATTGGATTATAAGTACTCTTATTCTCTACCTGATGTGATGCTCAGTTGATCTACTTTCTTCATCATTGTTTATATGCATTGTGTTAGAAGTAAAGGCGGAAATGTTAATAAGATCTCTAGTGGATATTGGGTCAAATTCTGATCTCTCCGTTATGTCCTAGTAATTGAGGATCTCCAAGTTATGTCTCAAGTTTTTCACGTCTTATCTATGTATAGTTAAACGTGATACAATTTGTATCTGAGTGACTTTAGAGTAAAATTCATTGACATCGCTTTTACCATTTGTGTTGGCAGCCACACTTTCTTTATTTTATAACTTGATGGATGCTGCTGTCACAGTATCCATATGGGAAGCTGTATGCTCTATCCATTTGTTATTACTGTTATGCTTTTTTGGCTAGTTCTCTGATGCCCTATTTGACACAGGTAAGGTTGATGGTCGGTCTTCTAAAATCTGTTGGGACGGGAGATCTAACAACTGCAGATGGTCTGGTTTTATGTTCTTCAACTTATCTGAATACCTTTTTTGCTTCATGATTCATGATGGTACATTGAAGTGAATATTACTTTTGATGCAGTTGAGAGAATTCTTGATGCAAAGACGGTGACTGCTGCACCCCATATGGCACCTGCTTGTGGTCTGTACCTTGCTAACGTGAAATATGATCTGAATACTTGAAGGCAAGTTTTGTCTAGTGGCTTCTGTCGATGGGCGTCCAGGTTTTGTCAGCTGTTGGCTATCAAAGGTATACCTGAATCCAATTTATGAATAGTGCACCTCAGTGACTACAACTTTGAAGTATCTGTACCAGGCCAAATAAGACATCCAAACATGTCCTTTGCTATAAGTTCAGGCTGATCAAGAATGATGCACATTGTACACCTTGTCGTAATCTCTAATTTTACTGTAGTTTGATCAAGAATTATATGCTGCCACTTGCCAAAGCCTTCAGTTGCCTGTTTTGTCCATTGAAGCTTGCATGGTGATTGAAAACCTAGAATTAATTTTGTCCGTCAGAAAAATAGCTGGCTTCATTTTCTTCTTAATATAATGATGACACAGCTCTCCTGCATGTTTGAGAAAAAAAAAAAAAAATAGCTGGCTTCATTCTAGTTAAGTTCAACTATCCAGTCTTTAAACTTCAGTTGGATTCACCTGATTTCTTTGGGGTACATAGTGTTGAACTGAGGTGCAAAATTTTATTTCTTGGTTTTCTCATGACTACCTGGTTCTAGATATATAAGTAGCCAAAGCCAAATGTGCAGAGTGCAGTATTGAAAGTACCCTTTTCTGTTCCTTAATAAATCTCATGACTGCAAGAGAACTTTCTTCAAGGAGTCAAGAACAACTTTTCTTCCAGTTTTCTTGTGTTAAGCCATGTATAGAAACTGATGCATTTTATTCATCTCCACAGGATCAGGTTAAATCTTCATGAATCCAAAAGTTCGCAATCAGAAAAGCAACAGTTTCTGTTGTGCATTCAGATGATCAGATCTTAGTGACATATGAACCTTCTTTAGAAGACTATATAAACACTAGGCAGGCAATCTTACGGCATTTCCTTACTGGAGGATAGGATCCATTTTTCTGACATTTAGATGATAAAGTAACTTATTTTGTCACTACTCTTAGAATGAGGGGTTGTGATTGACCAGGACCTGTTCTCTGTGAACTTCCGCCTCCTTAGCAATCCACTCATTCAGGATAGTTCGGTATGAATGGTAGACATTTTCAGAACTTTAACACAGCTTAGCTAATAATCGCACATTCCTACGATTCCTAGTCCTGTGTTCTATCTGTAATATTGGTGATGTTGGAACTGCAACTGATTACACCTTTATGCGTTATGCCTTCCATTGACGTGATCTGCTGGAGTCGTGCTCTGAGAATACTTGGATTTATCTTTACCCACTTTCTTCATTTTGAGATATGTTTTCCAAATCTAATCACCAAAGTGAAGCTGTGTTCATGTGTTCGAAGGGGGGAAAAATGCAGTTGTGTTCATCGATCACCTACCTTTTCCTTGCGTGTATTGATTGAAAGCACTATTGGTCTCTTCAGTTCTGTGTATGCCTTTGTAGTCTGGTCCGCTGTAATGTGCGAGAGCAGATACACTATATGATGCTGACCTATATGATGTGGAGCTGCTTAAAGGAGTTTGCCCAGAAAAGAGTGCACAAGGGCAAATCTCATGGAGGCAAGCGGAGATGCCCCTGAGTAGCGGTGGTAGCCGCTATCTTTGCCGAGGTCTTGCTTTGGGGAGAGCCTACGGTGTGAATCTATCAGAATTGAGGTTTCTTTCCGCCATTTACACAGATGAGGAGCTGGATGCTCCTCTGTTTTACCGCCACTACAGGTGCTAGCCGCATCACCGTTCACAGCTGTTCTAGGGCCGCGGCGATTTGGACTGGAAGGACGAGACGTGTCTCAGGGCGCTGGTTTTAGTATAGAAGTAGTGGGATGTTTGAAATAAGATAAATGACTGGAAAAGAGCAATGACAGGTCCAGAGATTGCACATTCAGTCCTCTTGCTGACCAGTGAGATTGGTGAAGAACCAAAGGAGAAGCATCCATCAAACTTGTCGGCCTCAAGATGCAAATGTATCCCCCCACTGCAGGGCTAGTCCCTAAAAGGACGTAACTACGGGTTGCATGCCAATTAAAGTACTTCACGTTTTACGTTTGATCAAGTTTTTAGTAAATAGTATTCACATTTATGGCTCTAAATTAATTTATTATGAAAATACATTTCATAATTAATATAATGATATTTGTTTTATATTACAATATTTATACTTTTTTTATCTATAATTTGTCAAACTTATATACTGAATATGACACTGTTATAGAATTGTATTCTTTTGAGGACGGAGGGAGTAACTCTGACGGTGCTTTTGTTCAAGATATGAGAAAGGGTGGTTGGGGTTTCGTGACCCGGGGACCATGCCGGGGCGGGGATGTCGTCTCGGCAAGAGCTGGCAGATTTTCCAATGTCTATGTCTCTATGATGCACTGATGGCAGAGGCAGTGGCTCGCTTAAATGCGTTAGTTAGAGTCAGCTGCAACAAATGGCATTTCACGGGTGCAGCTAGAAACTGATTCTGCACTTCCGAAGAAGGCAGTTCTGTGATTCTGTCCTAGGAGATGAACCTGGCTCCGGAGGGCAAGCTTTGTAGCGATATTCTTTGAATGTTTTTTTATTCCCGGATTGTGTAACTCGTCTGCGCATGAGATGGCAAGTTTAGGTTTGAGTTAGGACCCGGATCATGTCAATGTTTGTTAAACTTTGTGTTGCTCGCGATACCGCTAAGCTTTTTTTTTTCTTTTTTTGAGGGGACACCGCTGAGCTTTTGGTTAATGATGAAAGGCCCTAGAGCCTGTCGTGGATTAAAAAAAAGGGCATGACAAGGCTGGCCCGCAAGTCCACGAGAGGCAGCTGAGTTTGCGGATGTGCGTGGCAGCGGCCCGCAAGAGGCAGCTGAAGCCTGCTTTGCATAGGATACATATTTTGCATAAAAACAAAATTCGCGCTGGCTTTATTTTCCATAAAATATTGATTATTTTAATCCAAAAAGGATAAATATTTTTGTGGTACCATCTTTTGAATTAAATTTTCAGAAGCTAGCCTTTTTTCCTGCCACAAGACAGGGTGTGACAAATAATTAAATACGTTTATGCATTGATTTATCTGTACAGATGGTACCTCATGGCGTAAACAAAATAATAGGATTATGAAAATTTTATTCACCACATGGCATTATTAAAATATTTGTTTTAAGCTATAATATATTGTTTTTTTACTGGCACAACAAAAGCAACAAGCATAGAACTGAGTTTATATCTTCAATCAACTTTATTTGTCCTTCCCAAATCAACAAATCTTTCCATATATAGTTAAGTACAATTGCTTTGAAACAACACAAAGCCACAGTGCCTCACAATATCAATTTCAATCCAAGTTCATGGGCGGTAGATTTTTTTGTTCACACTGGTCAAAGAGCACTACAGCAGTTCATAAATAAAAACTGAAGATGTGAATAAGGATATGCAAGACATTACTATACTTACTCCTAAAATACAATGGTGCATATGTTAGGGAATGCGTGAAAACAAATGTTAACGACAAAACTGATCACTTTACATGCAGATGATCATTACCGCCAATGCATTGATGTTTTACTCCTATGTGTCCTAGACTAATGGCTTGTTTTCTGTTAAATCTATGCATAAATACCTAGTCAATACATGACTAAAGTTACCTAGGAAATTTGGCATATGCATGTGTCCCTGAAAATTAAGATTTTTCATTATTGGTTCTTAAAGAAGGAGGTAGTTACAAAAGACAACATAGCTACAATGAACTAGAATGGAAGTAAGACTTGTTTTTTAGCAAATCTGAAACTATCCAGACTTGTTTTTTTATTGTCATTATGCCATTTTCTTTGGCTGTGGTGTGTTTGTTTTGTTTGGCGTCCAACCACTAAGGAACACCAACCATCTTTTCAATAATTAGTTAAAACTAGGGGGTTGCAAACATAATTATCTTTCATTGATGACTAGGGCTGCTACCATTTTCTCAGCAATATGGATCACAAGAAATGATGTGGTGTTTCATAAAAGACAACCAAAAAAATTCTATAGGTTCCTTTTAGGGAGACACACTAGCTATGATTTTGGACTCTATTGCAGCGCTTGGATGAAGGCAAGAAATAGATTCTTCATGCTTGAAAGCTACTAGAATTTGAGAGCCATGTAGTTGTTTATTTACCGTCTTTGACTTTAGTTATAAACCTATAATAAGTTTAAATTCTAGGTGTGTTGCTATAAAAAGTTTGGGGTGATGCCTTTTCTTCTTAAAAGAAAACTGAAGCAAATTTTTTCCATTATCTAAAAAACTATACGACCATGACACCAATGATTTTTAACAACACCCAACACATCCCTCAATTATGTTAGATTACAATGGAAAGAGATATATGTTAGGCTGTTCTTTTTAGGTGACAATGGTGCTTTTTAATCTACCCATTATCGCCACTTCATTCTTCTCATTTCCGACATACCGTTCCTTTATTTTTAGTTGACAACCTACACCACTAGGTAGTGGCGGATCTAGGATCGCCAGTAAGAAGAGCTTTACTTTCTCTTCCTCATCCTTTTCTCCCTCCTTTCTCTTTTTTCTTCATCTTCATCTAATTTTTCTTCTTCCTCGCTTCCATCCATGCACAAAACTTGTTAGGGGTGCTTTGTTGTCCGCGCAGGGGTGAGGCTTGAGCCCTAGCCCCAAGTTAGATTTGCCGCGCCACTAGCTAGTCAGGTTCAGTTTCTGAAAAGTATTTCTTGCTACCAAAAAGCATAACACCAACAAAACGGGTGAAACTAGAAGTTGCTTTCGTGAAATATAATTTTCGTAGCACCATGGAACCTGCTTCCGGCTTTAAGTTTTCTGCTTTTCCAATTGGGTGGAAATAGAGAGATCTTTCACGGTTGTTTCATGGGAGTTAGAGGCAGGGGGTAAGGTTTCATAGTTGTTTCAACCAAACTGCTTTTAGCTTTTCCATGGCATAATTCACAATAGCTTTTGCACAACTTATGGCTCACGACAGTTTTTTCGCAACTCACAGCTACACCAAACATCCTTATACTGATAAGGTCTTTTCTAATGCCTTCAAACCCATGTT